ATGCACCAAGGATATTCACATTTACATCAGAAACCACCCCCAAAGTTTGAAATTGAAGCATTATTTCGACTAGTTATGCTGCAGTTATACAGACACAAAAAACAAAAAAAAAACACACACATCATTGTAAAATCAATACATTCAACACTTCGTTCAGAATCTAAAACAATAAAAAAAAAGTAAAAAAAACATCATTGTAAAATCAATACATTGATCACATCGTTCAGAATCTAAAAAAATATATTTAATTTGCGCCACATCTAAAAATATATTTTGGTAATTTGCGCCAAATAAAACTAAATAAAAAGGAATTATGTAATCTGTGTCCTATAGAGTACCTACTAAAATTGTAATTTGCGCCATTATTATAATAATATAAATAACTCCATGTATATTAAATATGTAAATTATCGTTAAGTATAATAAAACATATAATTACTTATATTTCGTCGAACTATAACTATACATCATCGCCCATCGGTAGTAATAGTTTGTAAATTATATATATTTTCAGAAATTTCTGTTCGTAATATATCTTACTTAGTTTAATATACAGATTTTTTCTCTTACATCCATTTGAATATATTTTTCTGTCTATACTTGGTTGATCATTCCCGTTATGTTCATTTACAATTTCAACTATTTGTTCAATGTTTTCCAAGGAAATAGGTATACACTTTTGCAGTGCAAGTTCTGACAGTGCAACGCCATCGTATTGAACAATTTTTCGATTCATGAACTTTTCGATACGTTAAATTTTTATATAATAATAAATCTTTGTCTCTGATACTTTTAATAATTTCACCAATATTTGTATCCATYACTTATACTTTTATATAATTGTGAACAATTTTAAAATGTGAAAATAATACGAACGCGCACGCGGTTTATATCGGACTAACTGTATATATCAAGATTCATGACATTGCTGCTCAATATTGTTCTATGTCTTACTTAATAATACACTGATAATTTTCAATAATAGATTAGACGTAATCGGAGATCGATTATGACGATTATTGAGACGATATGTGACACGTGTCGGACGCATCGGTACGTATTACCTACTTTGGACACGGCGTAGTTTATATTGTATATCCTATGCGATATCACTAAATTTATCTGCTGATTAATTCCAACTGCTATTAAAGTTGAAAGTGTGGCGCAAATTACATAATATTCCATTTTGTTTTCTGTAGTGGTGCAAAATACCAAAATTAATTAGTTACCTATATGTGGCGCAAAATACATGTTATATTTTTGCGCAAATTACATACTTACTTAAATTTGTGGTATTCGTGGCGCAAATTACAAGTAATAAAAGTGGCGCAAAATACCATCTCTCTGTATAGATAGTGTCTGTGTTATCGAGATCAGAATAATGTTCATGCATATTTTAATAACACATTAATAAATTTAAAAAAAACTTAATTAAGAATGTTCATATAACAACGCGTATCGTCCTAATTAAGCTTTAAAAAAGGTATAGCAATTTATGAATTGTTATAAAAATTTAATTAATTAATTAACAATTAATTAATGCTACAATTATTCGGAGTAATAAATAATATACGGAATTGTCAGGAATATTCGACTATATATTTTTATTAAATACATTAATTGAATTATGATCAACTTAATTTAATTCAAATTCAAATTTTTGAAATTTTATCAGAAAACTAGGTCGAAAAATTAATGAAAACCGCCTCYTCGTGGTGGCTCCAGGATAATCTCTAAATGGTTCCCAAACTATAATTTAATACAT